GGGAGCCCTGGTGGGTCAGTGGTTAAAATCATGTCTCTAGGTCCAGATTTAGGGAGCCCTGGTGGGTCAGTGGTTAAAATCATGTCTCTAGGTTCAGATTTGGGGAGCCCTGGTGGGTCAGTGGTTAAGAACTAGGCTGCTAACCAAAAGGTTGGTAGTTCAAATCTACCAGCCGCTCCTTGGAAAGCCTACGGGGCGGTTCTACTCTGCCCTGTGAGTCAGAACCGACTCGACAGCAACACGTGTTTCTGGTTCGATCCAGATTTAACCACAGGACGACAAGCCATTCGATGAGGCACAGAAGGCTCAGCCTGCCCGCAACAGGAACGCCAGCATGAATTAACCCGCAGGCGACACTCACAGACACACCGGCCGGGAAGCAGACACCACTGTCCCGTCCTTGTACTACATGTGCCCGCGCAACAGACAGCTGGACAGCGAGACGCCTGCCCTTACCCATGGCGAGCCCCACGAGGCGGTAGGGGAAGAAGCAGGAGGCCAGGAAGGCGGCCCACAGGGCGACGTACAGCTTCTGCGTGATCTCGGGCTGCACCCACATGAACAGGCTGGAAGGGAGAGGGGGAGGCTCAGCGGACGGCGGGCCACGCCACACCGCACCACCGGGCTGGGCTGAGACTTACTTCTTGATCTTCTCCAGGATGTCGGCCATCTTGCCAAAGAGGTTCTGTGGGAAGAAGAAACTGTGATTGCAGCACACGTGACGACACGGGGCGCACAGAGACAACGGGGGCCCGAGACCACAGGCCGGCCACAGTGTGAGCAGAGAGACCCCAGCTGTGCCCACCATGCCCTGTGGTTCTGCCCAGCCTCAGGGCCCAGGAGGCAGTGACGGGTCTGGTCAGCGTGCCCACACTAGCAAGGACAGCCTGGGCCACGTCACTCCAGGAGGTCAGCTCCACAATCACCCAGACTGAATTGGGGGGTCTACCCCCCAGACCAGAGCTGGTACAGACATGAAGTGGGCTGCTTTGTGAAGGACGCCTCCCCCCGCACACAAGCCAACAGCCGGCCCAGAGCTGGGGGTGCTCAGGGCCCCTTGTGTTGGCCACCCGCCTGGACAAGACCACTGGGGACCACCCCTCCATGGCTGGCCCAGTGGCCATACCTGGGCCTTCTGGGCCACGTCCAGCACCAGCTGGAACTTCTCGGACACAGTCAGGTCTTCTTTGGGAGGTTCCTTCAGTCAAGGGGGAAAGAGAATTTCCACTGAAAATTGCCAACTAAAACCATCGGTGGTCCCCTACCCCAGGGTCCCAGGGGTCACTCTGCTGTGCTTTAACAGCCAGAGGCAGTGACGCCCTTGAAGACCTGGGCACCTTGAGGCCAGCGCGTGGCTCACGGCTGTCCTGGTGGACACTCCTCTGGGCTGACAGCAAATCTCTCCCCGAGTTCAGATACCTCACCCAGACCAGCTGAGAGGGTAGGCGGGCAGTGACCAGCCCCCCGGCCGCTCACTCTCACAGAGATCCCCTTCAAAACGGCAGTTTAGAAACAACCTCAACCCCTACGCCCCTACTTTACAGGCAGGGAAACTGAGGCCCAGACAGGAGCAGTGCCCAGGCCACCCCAGGCCTGCTGGCCTCCTCCCCTCCACCATTTCTGGCCAGGGCAGGGATTCCCAGTGGGTGTCCACACGCCCCGAGCCAAGGGCCTCTGGAAACCTCCGGGCCTTTCCACACAGTGGCTGCTGACTGGGGGGACAGGGACGCCCTGCACCGTCGCGGGACTCACCACGGCTTCGGACACTTCTGGCACAATGCTCCACTGTATCCTCCAGCCCCTGCAGACAAGGAGCCACCAGACAGTGAGTGAGGGGTGACATCACATCCCCCCGTGCTCCCAACTGTGATTCCTGGGAGCGGAGGGTCCAGTTCACCTTCCCGGGCCCTCCCCTGGGCTCTGGGGGCCCACATTCGAGTGCAGCCAGAGGGGGTGGGAGGGAGGCATTTCAACACAAATTCGTTGAAAGCAGCCACAGCGAGTCCTTTAGCTAACTGGACCTCAGCGTTGGGTACCACTGACTCCTTCCGGAGTACTGCAGTGCCTTTTTTCTAGGGAAAAATGCAAATGAGGTACAGAATGACCTAGAAAAATTAGTGTATACAAATGTGAAATTTTGCAAAGCTGAGTAAACATGTGGAATGCAGGGGTACCCCTCTTCAGGCTGCAGGGTCCAGCGGAATTTCACCCCGCAGGGCAGCCACTGGCCACTACAAACCCCGGAGTGCCCCGGGGTCAGGGAACACAGCCCATCTGGAGACAGGTCCTCCTGGGTGCTGGTTCTCCCAGGGCCAGGGAACACCGCCCGTCTGGAGACAGGTCCTCCTGGGTGCTGGTTCTCCCAGGGCCAGGAAACATGGCCTGTCTGGCGATAGGCCCTCATGGGGGCTGGTTCCCACAGGGCTTTCCTACACCCTCACCGTGGGACAGCGCGTGAGGAGCCCTCAAGGGAGCAAAAAGGAATGGCAGGACAGCACTGACTCAATGAGCTGTTAATGTGCTGGTGGAAAATGTCTGCAGCAGCGAATACCCCGACTGCAAACCACCGGCGCTTACTCTGGATCTCAGCCACGTCCTGTACACTTTCATCTCACAACAGAGATTCCCGGGAACCTCACTGTTACGGATTGAATTGTGTCCCAAAAATATGTGTCGTTATCCTAACCTCTCTGCCTGTGGTTATAATCCCATTTGGGAAGCCGCTGTATTTGTTATGTTAACGAGGTAGGATTGTGTAGGATATACCTTGAGTAAATCTCTTTTGAGATAGAAAACAGATTAAACAAGCAAGCAAGGAAGCAGAGAGGGGGGAAGAGAGATGCCAAGCCACATGAAGACCGCCCAAGAGCAGAAGCTTAAAGAGACGAGGACCTTCCTCCAGAGCCGACAGAGAAAGAAAGCCTTCCCCTAGAGCCAGCACACTGAATTCGAATTTCTAGCCTACTAAACCATGAGAAAGGAAATTTCTGTTTGTTAAAGTCACCCACTTGTGGTATTTCTGTTATAGCAGCACTAGATAACTAAGACAGAATTTGGTGCCGGGAGTGGGGTGCTGCTCTAACAGATACCTAAAATGTGGAAGCAGTTTTAGAATCGGGTAATGGGCGGAGGCTGGAAGAGTTTTAAGGTGCCTATTAGTAAAAGCCTCGATTGCCTTGAAGAGACTGCTGGTAGAATCATGGACGTCAAAGGCAATTCTGGTGAGGGCTCAGAAGGAAGTGAGGAGAGCTACAGAGAAAGTCTCTGTCACCTTAGAGAATACATACGGTGCCAGCAAGAGAATGTGGCTAGAAATGTGGATGTTAAATGTGCTTCTGGTGAGGCTTTAAAAGAAAATGATGAACATGTGATTGGACAATGGAGGAAGGATGATGCTTTTTATGCAGTGGCAAAGAATTTGAATTATGTTCAAATATTTGGTGGAAGGCAGTGCTTGTAAGTGATGAATTTGGGTATCTGGCTGATGAGATTTCTAAGCAAGATCTTAGAGGGGCTGTGTGGTTTCTCCTTGCCACTTATGGTAAAATGCAAGGAAAGAGATGGACTTAAAAACGAATGTACAGAATGAAATCAGAACTTAAAGATCTGGAAAATTCTGCTGTACAAACTAAGGACACGTGTCCTAGAATGCTCACCAAGGACATAGCTACACAATCTTTTGTTAAAGGGATTAAGCCTGTGACTGATGGATCTAACCAACTACCACAGCAGAAAACCCATCAGCTTAGATTGAAGGCGACAGAGAAAGAACAAAAGGAAAGAATACTGTCTGCCTCTTGGAATTCTACAGGCAGGAAACAGGCCAAAGGAGCTACATCTGTTGTCCTCCAAGAAAAGGACCATCCCTGAAGCAGCTCAAGGATCAGCAGAACCGTTGGAAGAAGCATGGGAAGCAAGGCCTTCTTGGTTTCAAAGGGTGGGGCCACAGCCTCCTAGGTTTCAAAGAGTCGGCTCTTCGCTAACTCCGTTCCAGAGTATGGGGCTGCCACACCCAAGGGGCAGAAGAATGGGACCTGCCAGGGCAGAGGGGGTGGGTTTGCAACTCAGATGGACTAGGAGAACAGAGGCACCTAAAATTCAGGGAGCAGAGTTGCCATCCCAGTGGGCCTGGAAGGCAGAGCTAAAGCCCAGGGCCAAGGGGCCTCCACCCAGAATCCAGAGGGTATAGCTAACACCCAGAGTCTGGAGGGTGGGCCATTGCCCAGATGGTCCCAAAGAACGGAGGATTATTTTCAAGCCCTGAGAACTAATGTAAATTGTTGTTCTGCTGTGTTTTGGACTTGCTTGGTGCTTGTTATTCCTTCTTTCCATCTGTAATGGAAATGTCTACCTTGTGCCTGTTCCACCACTGTGCTTTGGAAGCAGATAACTTGTAGTCTAGATCTCACAGGTGCACAGATGAAGAGGAATTTTGCCCCAGGATGGAAAACGCCTAAAGTCTCACCCATATTTGATTTAGATACTTCAGAAGATAAGATTTTGGACTTGGAGTTGATTTCAGGCTTTTGCTATGATGTGATGGGATGATGTGTTTTGCAAGTGGCAAGGGTATGAATTTTGGGGGGCCAGAGGGTGGAATGTTATGGATCAAATTGTGTCCCCCAAAAATATGAGTTGTAATTCCTAACCTCTATGCCTGTGATTATAATCCCATTTGGGAATGGGTTGTATTTGTTATGTTAATGAGGCAGGATTTGTGTAGGATGTATCTTGAGTCAATCTCTTTTGAGATATAAAACAGATTAGACAAGCAAGCAAGGAAGCAGAGATAGGGGAAGACAGATGCCAAGCCACATGAAGATCGCCCAGGAGCAGAAGTCCAGAAGAGACAAGGACTGTCCCCCAGACCCGATGGAAAGAAAGCCCTCTCCTAGAGCTGATGGCCTGAATTCGGACTTCTAGCCTCCTAAACTGTGAGAAAGTAACTTTCTGTTTGTTAAAGCCACTCATCTGTGGTACTTCTGTTACAGCAGCACTGGATGACTAAGTCAGAGAGCACAGAGCCTCTGCGACTGCACTGGCCCATCCGCTGGACCACCAGCTCTGGAGCCTGGGGGAAATGTCGCCACCCAACCACAGCCCGGTGCAGGGAGCAGGCACTGCCGTCCGAAGCTGGGGGCCTGGACACATTTCTGCTTGGGTGTAGAACCAGTAGGGGGTTGCATCGGGGTGTCCTCCAGCACCGGGGAGGGGGTGGGCCCCCTGCCTGAGTGTTATCAAGGCTACCAGGGGACCCCCTCCATGTCAGCACTGCTGAAGGGCTGGCTCAGGGCCCCTCCGGTCACACTGTCTGTGAGGACGCTGGGAGATACCACGGCCTGGCACTCTGTGGGATGAAGCCACCCACCACACGGCAGCACCGCTCACGTACCTGGCGATGAGGTAATTGAGAGACAACCTCAGGATTGCCAGAAACAGGAACATGGGGATGGCCCAGCCATGCCACACGGCATTCATGTACACCTGCAGACGGAGGGAGACAGCAGCAGGGGTTAGTCACCCCTCCTCCCGCCCTCCCCAGGGAACCCCGAGGAGCCCAGCCAGCAGGAGAGGGGCCGGGACCCCACAGCTCTGCCATGACTCAGGTATGGGAATGATGGGGATGCAAGGAGAGGGCTGTGTCCTTGCTTAGGGCTACAAGGGGAGGGAAAACCACTCAAGGGACGGTGGGGACACATCGCGGGCGGCGGGCAGGAGGCTGAACGTCTGTGGGAGCAGCTACTGGGCTTGGCCGGGATCAGCAAGAGGAGCTGACTGCATGCACAGTTCCGCCCAGCCCAGCCCACATGGGGTCCCAGCGCAGCCCACACGGGGTCCTGAACAGGCCAGTATATACAAAGGTCCCAGCCTAGCCCACATGGGGTCCCGGCCCAGCCCAGCTCACACAGGGTTCCAGCCCACACAGGAGTCCCAGTCCAGCCTACACAGGGTCCCAAATGGCCCAGCCCACATGGGGTCTCAAATGTCCCAGACTATATGGGGTCCTGGCCCAGCCCACACAGAGTCCCGAACAGCCTAGGCCAGACGGGGTCCCGGCCTAGCCCAGATCACAGAGTCCCGAATGGCCCAGCCTATATAGAGGTCCTGGCCCAGTCCACATGGGGTCCTGAACAGCCCAGCCCCCACAAGGTCCCAGCGGACCCTGGTGTGGCTCCCACTTGCCAGAGCACAGGCGTCACCAGGACCCAGTGGGAAGCAGGCGCGGTGGCGAACCACTGGCTGAGAACCTGCAGCGCGCCACATGCCACAAGGGCCGAGGGCCCCTCCCGTGTCCCACCTGTCCCCGCAGAGGACTACGGCCCCGGAGGATGCTAGGCAGGGGACGGGGACAGAATTCAGCGGAACTCAGGCAGAGCCCTGGGAGGCAGTGAGAACAGAACCAGGGTGGCCCAGAGGTGTCTGAGGGCCCCAGGCCGCGGCGGCCACCCCGAGCACAGCTTCCAGGCAGGGCGGGCTGGGGCAGAAGTGGGGCCTGCCACCTCGACTTGTCATCTGCGTGCAAAGTGCTCCGTCCTCCCACATGGGGACGGGGTCCCTCGGGAAACCTCAATGGCTGCATCCCAGTGGCCCGGGGTCACTCAGGGAAGGGTGGGGGCCCAGGCCCAGCCCCGCTCGCCCCGCCCCTGTGGAGCACCACTCACGATGAAGGCAATGGCAGACGTGTAGACAGAATACCAGTCAGATAAGGCAGAGAGGTTCTTCACAAAGTTGGTGACGGGCTTGGCACCACGCTCTACAGACAGAACACCGTCACGGCTGCGGTCAGCCGCGGACACGGCCTGGGCGTGGCCCTCCTAGAAGGCCAGCCTGGACCCCCATGCTCGACACAGAGCCAGACAAGCAAAGCTCCCTGTCCGCCTGCGCCAACCAGGGCCCCTGCAGCCACCCCAATGCTGTCTGTGTGGGGAACACCCCCCAGTGTCCAACAGTCAGCCAACACCCACCGCGGTGACAGCTGGCAGAGGGGAGAGAGGGGAGCCTGGGCCAGAAACGCGTGGGAGGAGCTTCCCTGGCACCCTCAGGGCCTGGGAGACATCTGGGAGGCAAGTGGGCAAAAAGCTCTGCTTTCCATCTCAAATGCTGGGGCTCCCGGGACCGGGGCAGGAGGGAGTGGCCTCTGCCCGCTCTCAGCCCCCAACCATGGCGGGCCAGACATAATGCCAACACAACCTTCTCCTAAGGACGGAAGGGGCCTTTTGTGGAAGCAGCTCAGGTCGGCTCGTGAACCCGGGGCCCCTGCTCCCCGAAGGCCCCGCTCATCACCCAAGGAGGACGCTGTGCATGTCACAGACACACAGAGGCACTGCGCGGTACTTACTGAGTCTCCTCATATTTTCCGTTAACCTGAGAGAGACGGGAGAGAGAGAGTGTCCGGGAGTTAACTCACCGGCCGGCTCTGCATTCCTAGCACCCATGACCCGTGGCGCTCAACCCGGCACGTGGAGCACGGGAGGACGTCTTTGGTGTGTGTGCCCACCCCCATGCCCCGGGCCACCACACACAGTGAAGCCCATGGCACTCCTCGCCCAATAGGCTCACCAGTGCTCCCGCGGAGCACATCAGGAGGGCAGGGGCATTTCACCCATGTCCCACAAGAACCAAGTCCTGCAAGAGCTGGACCTGGCCGGAGTGGGGCCCCCGGGCCTAGCCGAGGCCCTGCAAAGCAGCAAAGGTCAGAGTGGGCGAGCGGACAAGCCCCGGGCAGCGGGCCCTCGGCAGTGGGCCCTGAGCTTGTTGTCCCCACACGAGAGTGTACACAAACCACCAGTGAAACCACTGCGTGGGCAGAGCAGGGCACGCACACTCAGCTGCTGCCCTGTCACGACGCCTGAGCTGGCTTCCTCTGCCCCTCAGGACAAGGTGCAGACCAGCCTTCAGAGCCACAGCAGCCAAGCCCAGCAGATCCATCCAACAACGCAAAACACCATGTGCCCCTCTGAAGCCTCAAATAGGCCACCTCCAGACACACAGCCAGACCCCACAACTCCAGACACACAGCCCGACCCCACAGCTCCACATACAGAGCTACCTCCCAGCTCTAGACACAGAACCGCCCCCAGCCCTGGACACACAGCCGAACCCCAGCCCTGGACACAGAGGTGGACCCCACAGCCCCAGACAGAGCCACCCCACATCGGGCGGGCCTACCTTCTGGCACTGAGGGGCTCCTCCGCCTCCACGGTACTTTCCTCAGGCTGGAACCGGAAGTCCTCCACGTACTCCCCGAACCTGTCGTAGAACCACTTCTGGAGGCGGGTGCACAGCCCCTGGCCCCGGCGGTCTGTGGGGACAGGCAGAGTCGCGGTGAGGGCCCGGCCAGGGTCTGCACCCCCTCCTCAGGTTAGAGCCTCCGTCCTCACATCTGCCTGGTAGGTTCCTTGCAAGGGGGGATGTCTCAAAGTGGACGCCCACCACCAGGGCGGGGACCAAGGAAAACACTCCCCCAGACGGTGGGGGGCTGGGCCATTCCCCTGTGGGGCTTCCCTGGAAAATGAGCTGTTCGTGCCAGAACCCTCAAGGCCCAGCTCTCTGCAGTGGGGACGCGATCCAGCTTCTAAGCCGAAGCACAAAGAAGGACAGGCCACAGGAAGCTCTGTTACACGGCCCCAACCTCTACCTGCCTGAAAGTCTGAGGGTCTCACACCTGACCTCTCCCCCGCTGAGGCTGCAGACTCCATGCCATCCCCAGCACCAGGAATGTGGAAGCTGCTGCTCAGCCTGTCTGGGAGTCCACACTGCCTCCCTCCGTCCCGTCTATCTCGGGGAACGGCTGGGTGGGCCCCTTCCCTCAAGCCCCGCCATGAGTGTGCCTGCCGGGGCCTGTGTCCTGGAAGGGGACAGGCCTCAGTGAATGAAGTCACCAGGCCTGGGCGAGCTCACAGGCAGATGTCAGTGTGTGACAATTTCAGAGTCTGCTCACCAACAGCTAAAACCTTTAGCCAGCAACCCAGATCATAGATGCTAAAATCCTGCTGAGCTTGAACATTGTTTCCTGGATCAAAAAGTCTGTATCTTCGGAGAGCAGGTCGTGAAATCGCCTGCAGGGAGCGCTGTCTGACCAAAGTCAGGAGCACGGGGACTGGAGAGAGTGGAGTGCAGTCTGTCCTGTGTGCCCAGGGGCAGAGCTTGAGGAAACCAAGGCCAAGCGCAGCTGAGGGGTGTAGACGCAGGGGCCAAAGGCTCAGGAACGCCCAGGGGCCCCAGGCATGGAGAAGGAGTCGGAGCTCTGGGCAGAGAGAGCGAGCCTTGGGGTAAGGCCCCTTGGGAGGCTGCTTCTGGTACCCTAACTAGAGCGTTCAAAAGATTCAAAGTTAAGGGCCCAGAGGGTTACAAAGGTTCTTAGTTGAGGGTTTACAATGCTATACATCAAAGTAAAGAAAACAAAAATCCTCACCACTGGACCAATAAGCAACATCATGATAAACAGAGAAAAGACTGACATTGTCAAGGATTTCATGTTACTTGGATCCACAATCAACGCCATGGAAGCAGTAGTCAAGAAATCAAACAATATTGCATCAGGCAAATCTGCTGCAAAAGACCCCTTTAAAATCTTAAAAAGCAACAACGTCACTTCGGGCAGTAAGGTGTGCCTGACCCAAGCCATAGTGTTTTCAATCGCCTCATATACATGCGAAAGCTGGACAACGAATGAGGACGGCTGAAGAATGGATGCCTTTGAATTATGGTGTTGGTGACGAATATTGAATATCCCATGGACTGTCAGAAGAATGAACAAATCTGTCTTGGAAGAAAGCAGTCAGAATGCTCCTTGGAAGCAAGAATGCCAAGACTTTGTCTCACATACTTTGGATATGTTATCAGGAGGGACCAGTCCCTGGAAAAGGACATCATGCTTAGTAAAGAGGGTCAGTGAAAAAGAGGAAGACCCTCAACAAGATGGATTGACACAGTGGTTGCAACAATGGGCTCAAATATAGCAAGGTTGTGAGGATGATGTAGGACTGGCAGCACTTCATTCTGTTATACATGTGGCTGCTGTGAGTCCAGCAGACCCTAGAGCGCTTAACAACAGTGTTACAAAGTTTCTTACTGGAGGGTCTAAAGGATTACATGTTTCTTAGTTGAGGGTCTGTTGTTAGTTGCCCAGGAATTGATTTCCGACTCATCGTGACCCCGTGTGACAGAGCAGAAGTGCCCTATAGGGTTTTCTAGGCTGTAATCTTTATGGAAGCAAATTGCCAGGTCTTTCTCCTGCGGAGCCACTGGGTGGGTTCAAACCGCCACCCTTTTAGTTAGCAGCTGAGTGCTTAACCATTGTGCTACCAGGGCCCCTTATTTGAGGGTCTAGAGGGTTGCAAAACTTCTTAGCTGAAGGTCAAAAGGATTACAGCGTTTCTTAGCTCAGGGTCTAGCGTGTTATAAAAATTCTTAGTTGCGAGATGTAGGCAGTGGCGGGCAAGCCTGTTCTGTAAAAAGCCTGGGAGTAAATACTTAAGGCTCTGCGGGCCACACTGTCCCCAGTCTCAGTTGCACCTACTCAGCTCTGCCTTTATAGATAGCACAAAAGCAGCCATAGATAACATGTAAGCAAATGGGAGTGGCTGCGTGCCAATAAAACTTTATTTATGCCCCAAAACTATGGTCCCTGGACTCTCTGTTAACCCAGAACTGAAACCATTCCTGAAGCCCACTCTTTCAACAAAGATTAGACAGGACTATAAAACAACAAATAATACACGTGAGGAACGTGTATACGAGGCCAAACGGGCAGCTCTTGTCCAAAAGCAGGACGAGAAGGCAGGAAGGGACAGGAAGTGGTCGAATGGACACAGGGAACCCGGGGTGGAAAGGGGGAGTGTGCTGTCACATTGCGGGGACTGCAGCCAATGTCACAAAACAATGTGTATAAATTTCTGAATGAGAAACTCACTTGAGCCGTAAACTTCACCTAAAGCTCAATTAAAAAAAAAAAACTTTATTTACGGCCACTGAAATTTGAAATTCAGGTCATGTTCACACGTCACAAAATATTCTTCTTTAGATTTTTCTGCTAACCATTAAAAAATGTAAAAACGCGGTGGGCTGCAGTCTGCCCCAGGTCTGGGGGACGCGAGTCTGCTGCCTGAACAGGCCGGGTTCCACCTCATTCCTGAGCCCTGCTCCTGAGGACGGGGCCCACCTGCTTCTCTTCCTTCACCTGGACCAGAAGGGCCTCTGGCTGTGCCCTCAGGGCCAAGGGCCACGGGAAGCTAATTCCCTGGAGGAAACAGAAAACCCTAACAAGCCTTTTCCCTTCCACACCTTTGCACAGCTGGCACCCCAGTGCTCAACCCTCCCAGGGCACAGCGGCTAACCCCCAACCTCAGGGTCAGGGGGAGGCTGGCACTTGGAGCCCTCTTCCCTCCCCCACCACACACTGCCCCCTGCTCAGTGTGGGTCACGGCCATCAGCCAGGCTCTGGACCTTCCTGTCACAGTCTCTGCCCCTTGTCCTCACAGGCAGGAGGTAGTCCATCTCTCATGGGGACTGAGGTATTGTGCTAGTGGTCCAGGCACTCAGGCAAAGGACTATAGATCTAAGCCTGGGCTGGGGCCTGAGATCTACCTACAGGACGCACCGCCAAGCCCACACCTGAGCCTGGCTTCTGTTGGCCCCGTACCGGGCTCCTGGAAAGCTCCACAACCAGGTTGTGCAGCCAGGCGTCGGCCATCTTACCCTCTGCGAGTAAGTGTGGCACAGCCCTGACTGGGCCCGGGAGACCCAGCTCTGTGCAGGCTGGACTCGGCCTGGGGCGCCTGACCTGGGATGCTTGGCCTGGGGGGACCGGCCTGCGACACTCGAACTGGGGTGGCCGGCCTGGTGGACCTAGCCTGGGGGGCTCAGCCTGGGGTGCTCAAACTGGAGCACCCGGCCTAGGGTGCTCAAACTGGGGTGCTCCTGGGTGAACACGCCCTCCCGGGCCTCATTTCCTGTCTGGACACTGGCATGGGGCTCACACCAATGAGCTCAGGCCTTTCCTGTTCAGCTCTGAGCTCCAGGGGCACACGCAGGGAGATTTCGGGAGTGGCCAGCCTACAGGGACAGGTCCTGTGGCCGGGGGGTGCACTAACCAGGACCCCGTGGATCTGGGACCCTCCGTGTCCTCCACACCACCCTCGAACCAGCAACGACTACAGAGCGTTGAGTGAGAAGGAGAAGAGGAGCTCAGGGCGGGAAGAAAAGGAGAAAAGGGCCCGTCCCCAGCCCAGCACCGCCAGCTGTGCAGTCCCCGGACGGTGGCCAGCCTAGGAAAACAGGCCCGCAAGCCATCAGCAACACGACCAGGGGACTGACGGGGCCGCCTCGCTAATCCTTGCTGGGGAGGCCGAGGCGGCAACGTGCTTTACTTCGAGGAGAAAACAGAACGGCGTTTCGGTTGAATGACTGTGCTTGCTATGATGAGTCACCAGTTCACACTGGGGACCCTGACCCAGTGCCAATGGGAGAAGACCCCGAACTGTGCACAGGGAGGCCAGGGACGAACCCTCAATCCGCCCTCACCGCCCCCACCAGGGCTTACCTGCTCCGTTGTTAACCTGGGTCTGCCCCTTGGGAGGCTGCTGGGCCGGCTGCTCCTCGGATCTTGGAGAGAGGGGAGAAGAGCGAGGTGGCCGTTAGTACAGAGAGGTGCACCATCGGCGCTGTGCAGAGGGGGAACTGTGTGCCTGGAGCAGTGCGCCTGGAAGCCCTTTACATTCAGTCACTGGTTATCACGGTGGCTGCGCCGGCACAGAGCTGGCTTCGTCATGGGCACAACTTTCGTGTTTTAATAACTGAATAATCGTTGTTGTCGGTTGCTGTCGAGTGAATTCCAACTCAGGGCAATCCCACGTGTGAAGAGCTGAACTGTGCTCCGTAAGGTTTTCCGTGGCTGTGACCTTTCAACAGCTGATTGCCAGGGCAGTCTTCCGAGGCACCTCTGGGTGGGTTCAAACTGCCAAACTTTCAGCAAGTCGTCGGGCACTTACCCATATGCACCACCCAGAGACTCCTGAGTAAATAACCCACTGTCGTGGAGGCAATTTCGACTCATAGCGACCCTATAGGACAGAGGAGAACTGCCCCGTAGGGTTTCCAACCTGCTGACCTTTTGGTTATTAGTCACAGCTCTTAACCACTGCGCCACCAGGGCTCCAGCTGGGTAAACAGCCATCTCATAAATACACAACTCTTCTTTCCTATTCAACTCAACACCTTTGCTTCTTTCTTTACCCTCAAGCTCAGAATAAATGCCTCTTATATTACTAACTGCTGTTAGCTGCCGTCAGCTCAGCCCCAGCTCATGGCGGCCCCGTGCCATCCCCACGATCAGTTGAGATCAGACTGCTGAGATCCACGGGGTTTTCACTTGCTGATTTTAGATTGCCAGGCCTTTCTTCCTAGTCTTAGTCCGGAAGCTCTGCTGAAACCTGTTCAGCATCCTAAGAACCCACAAGCCTCCACCGACAGATGGGTAATGGCTGCTCATGAGGGGCACCGGCTGGAGTCAAACCCTGGTCTCCGCATGGAAGGCGAGAATTCTCCCACTGAACCCGCAGTGCCTGCACGTTACTAGCCTGCTAATAAAGAGATACTCATTCACACACGCGCATGCACGTGTCAAGCATAACACAAGGCCGCAGTTGGGAAATGCCACCTCAATGGCTCTGTATGGGTCCTAGCTCAGCTGTGTCAGTCACCTGCCTCACCTGCTGCCCCCACCTCGATCAGCAGGGCCCTGCCCAGCCTGGCCCTGACCACAAAGGCACTGGGGCCTTGAGCCCAGCTGCCTCGGCCCCTCCCGGAGTCTCTGCCACCTGCTGGCTCCTGACCACAGCCCAACTCTCAGCCGCATGCCCTGATGGGGCCCCTCCCCGCAGACGCCTGGACCTGTCCCTTGGCTGGGCCTCTGTCCAGGGCTCTGGCCAGCCTACTTGGCCCTGACAGTCCTGCCCTGGCCTGGGTACAGACGCACCCTCTGCACCTGGCTGCAGAGAGCTCCCAGCCCACAGGGAGCCAGGTCATTGGAGAACAGTGTCCCAGGCAGACCTCGGAGGAACCTGGCGGGGCAGAGCAAGCTCCAGCAGGACAGGGACGGCAGGCGGAGACCAGGCATGCACACACAGTCATCAGCGAGGAGGGGACTGGCTCCAGCTCTGTGTGCCTCACGTGGCTCCCACCAGCCCCTCTGGAGAACCAGCCTGGTTCACGGGCTTGGAGTCTGTGATTGTACTGTAGACTGAGCAGCTGGGCGTGGAGGACACGCTGGCCGGGGGAGACAGTGGGTTGGGGGGAATGAGTACGTCTACCAGGAGGTTCCAGGTGGCTGGGCGTGGAGGACATGCTGGCCGGGGGAGACAGCAGGGGGCAGCCAATGGCACCCACCAGGAGGCAGGGCTGCAGGGCAAGGGCTGCACCTAACGAAGGGTGGATAAGGAGGACGTCAAGGCAGCACAGACCTGAGAAAGCAGGGATCCAAAGAAGGCCGCAGCCCCACCCCTCCCATCCACACCTGAAGTAGCCGGGAAAACAGGGACCACGGAAAAGAAGCAGGAGCCCGTGGCGCATACGAGACTCCAGGACTAGCTGAGCAGGAACCACGGCTCAGACCCAGGGCACATAGGAGACTCCAGGCCTAGGCAGGCAGGAACCACGATTCAGAGCCCAGGGCGCCTATGAGACTCCGGGCCTAGGCAGGCAGGAACCACGGCTCAGAGCCCGGGGCGCCTATGAGACTCCGGGCCTAGGCAGGCAGGAACCACGGCTCAGAGCCCGGGACGCCTATGAGACTCCGGGCCTAGGCCGGCAGGAACCACAGCTCAGAGCCCGGGGCACATACAAGACTCCAGGCCTAGGCTGGCCACGGCTCAGAGCCCAGGGCACCTATAAGACTCCAGGCCTAGGCAGGCAGGAACCACGGCTCAGAGCCCGGGGTGTGTATGAGACTCCGGGCCTAGGCCGGCAGGAACCACGGCTCAGAGCCCAGGGCACATACAAGACTCCAGGCCTAGGCAGGCAGGAACCACGGCTCAGAGCCCAGGGCACATACAAGACTCCAGGCCTAGGCAGGCAGGAACCACGGCTCAGAGCCCGGGTATGAGACTCCGGGCCTAGGCAGGCAGGAACCACGGCTCAGAGCCTGGGGTGTGTATGAGACTCCGGGCCTAGGCCGGCAGGAACCACGGCTCAGAGCCCAGGGCACATACAAGACTCTGGGCCTAGGC